CTTTCGAATCATGCACTTTTCATTTCTGTTTACTGCATTTTGGAAACAGTATTTATGCAATTACTTCATAATAATTAAGACAGAGTGTTTAGTTTAAAAACACTCTCACTTAGTTATTATCAAGTTATTGCATAAATATGGTTTCCAAAACTGCTAACTTAGTTAAAAAAATTAATGAAAAGTGTTTATATTTTATACACAAATAACCTGAAATGTTTTTTTTATTCATGTCATCACATAGTAATTAAATTCATATATATATATATATAGATAGAGATACTAACTAAGATAAAAACTAGACAAAAAAGGTTCCTAAGTGTAATAGGATTAAATATTTTCAGAAATTTTCCAAAGTTTAATAAGCGGTAAAATTTAAGCATAAATTACGATAAACTATCTAATTAAATATTACAATTCAATTTAACTACCGGTCGCGAACAAAGTATTCAGGGAAACACTTTTCCGAACCAGTTTCAATAACTGCACATCTGGTCATAAGTGATTTGATTTATTTTCCTACTTACAAAAATACGTATTACGTTTTTTCACAGTGTGCCAGTTTCTTTGGAGATGAAACAATGAACTGAATTCCTTTTTCATATGACACACAGTATCACTTTAATATTCGTACTAATTCAATTTAATATTAATAATTGTCACTTTATATTCGTAATAATTCATTTTAATAATTGTCACTTAATATCGTAATAATTCACTTTAATATTAATAATTGTCACTTTCATATTCACTTGAAAATAAACTTCAGTTTGCTATTTAGTTTCCAGTTTTTATAGCTTCAAATGAGTAAAATGATTTTTTACTTATTTCTTTTGCATTCTTCTTTCGCATATAATTAACCAATTAAAACCAAACAAGTTGGCTGTATCTCTCGAAATAATTAATATGGTATTAAGGATATCAAATTTTAGAGAGGTTTTAAGCATCGGTTCTTAAATAAATAAAAGTTCGAAAGTCCTAAGAACATATTACGGAATGCGTAGTTAATCGTATTAAAAATAAAATAGTAATAACAATAAAAACACGAATATATACCCGAACGCAAGGACTCTTAAAAGGTCTGGAAGAAAATAACATCTGAATCGTCTCAATCGCTCATAAACAAGGAACTATTGGAAGACAAAGGGTTAAAGAACAAAAGAATCGCGTAAAAAAGATGCAAAGATATGTCAAATGGCACGCACGCAATGAAGAAGGTTGCAGAAAAAGAATCTTATTGCATATTTCTCTGCCAAAATATGAAGACCTGATTATGAATCAAAGTGTCATACCCGAAATTAAATTCGCTGGTGTAGACGTAGAAACATATTTTGGTTTCTTGATACAAATGGTAGTTAAGAAAAGCAGCACTTTTTGTTGTAACAGAACAGCTTTTAATTACTATGTGATGACATGAATAAAAAAAAATTTCAGATTATTTGTGTATAAAATAAGGTTTGTAAATTGTATTTTGAGTGGTTTTCTAGAGCGTATGAAAAGAAAAATCTGAGGAAAATTGCCTAAAGCGAGTTCCGAATGGATAAAACTGTAATATGATCGAACGATTCAATTTTTAAATTTAATTAGAAAGAAAATAAGAGTTATACATATATTTAGTTGTTGTTACATGATGGTAGATTGGTTTATGCCCTTGAGAAGTCGATTAATCTGCGATCAATGATGATAGCTACTTTTTCAATACTTAAATTATGCCTTCTTTTTTTTTTTTTTTTTTTTTTTTTTTTTTTTTTTTTTGCAATCAAGGATTTTTGTTACAGAGTTTATGTTTTTAAAGCAATAGAGATTTAGAAAATACTTTTTTAAAAATCTAATTAAAATTCCTATTGCAAAATTTTTAAATTTTTCTTAGTTTTAATTGAAATTCTGTTCCTTGGAAGGTATATGAAAAGTTTTTTTATTATAAATTATTCATATATATATATATATATATATATATATATATATATATATTATTTTTCTTAGTTTTAATTGAAATTCTGTTCCTGGAAGGTATATGAAAAGTTTTTTATTAAATTATTCATATAGATATATTATATATATATATATATATATATATATATGAATATATATAATATAGATATGATATCTATATATATATATATGATAGATATATAGATATATTATATATATAATTATAATAAAAAAACTTTTCATATACCTGCCAGGAACAGAATTTCAATTAAAATAAGAAAAATTAAAAAATTTTTTGCATAGGAATTTTAATTAGATTTTTAAAAAAGTATTTTCTAAATCTCTATTGCTTTAAAAACATAAAACTCTGTAACGAAAAATCCTTGATTGCAAAAAAAAAAAAAAAAAAAAAAAAAAAAAAAAAAAAGAAGGCATAATTTTAAGTATTGAAAAAGTAGCTATCATCATTGATCGCAGATTAATCGACTTCTCAAGGGCATAAACCAATCTACCATCATGTAACAACAACTAAATATATGTATAACTCTTATTTTTCTTTCTAATTAAATTTAAAAATTGAATCGTTCGATCATATTACAGTTTTATCCATTCGGAACTCGCTTTAGGCAATTTTCCTCAGATTTTTCTTTTCATACGCTCTAGAAAACCACTCAAAATACAATTTACAAACACTATATTTTATACACAAATAATCTGAAATTTTTTTTTATTCATGTCATCACATAGTAATTAAAAGCTGTTCTGTTTACAACAAAAAGTGCTGCTTTTCTTAACTACCATTGTATCAAGAAACCAAAATATATGTTTCTACGTCTACACCAGCGAATTTAATTTCGGGTATGACACTTTGATTCATAATCAGTGTCTTCATATTTTGGCAGAGAAATATGCAATAAGATTCTTTTTCTGCAACCTTCTTCATTGCGTGCGTGCCATTTGACATATCTTTGCATCTTTTTTACGCGATTCTTTTGTTCTTTAACCCTTTGTCTTCCAATAAGTTCCTTGTTTATGAGCGTCATTGAGACGATTTCAGATGTTATTTTCCAGACCTTTTAAGAGTCCTTGCGTTTCGGGTATATATTCGTGTTTTTATTGTTATTACTATTTTATTTTTAATACGATTAACTACGCATTCCGTAATATGTTCTTAGGACTTTCGAACTTTTATTTATTTAAGAACCGATGCTTAAAACCTCTCTAAAATTTGATATCCTTAATACCATATTAATTTATTTCGAGAGATAACAGCCCAACTTGTTTGGTTTTAATTGGTTAATTTATATGCGAAAGAAGAATGCAAAAGAAATAAGTAAAAAATCATTTTACTCATTTGAAGCTATAAAAAACTGGAAAACTAAATAGCAAACTGAAGTTATTTTCAAGTGAATATGAAAGTGACAATTATTAATATTAAAGTGAATTATTACGAATATTAAAGTGACAATTATTAATATTAAAATGAATTATTACGAATATTAAAGTGACAATTATTAATATTAAATTGAATTATTACGAATATTAAAGTGATACTGTGTGTCATATATGAAAAAGGAATTCAGTTCATTGTTTCATCTCCAAAAGAAACTGGCACACTGTGAAAAAACGTAATACGTATTTTTTTAAGTAGGAAAATAAATCAAATCACTTATGACCAGATGTGCAGTTATTGAAACTGGTTCGGTAAAAGTGTTTCCCTGAATACTTTTGTTTCGGCGAACCGGTAGTTAAAATTGAATTGTAATATTTAATTAGATAGTTTATCGTAATTTAATAGCTTAAATTTTACCGCTTATTTAAACTTTGGAAAATTTCTGAAAATATTTTAATCCTATTACACTTTAGGAACCTATTTTTGTCTAATGTTTTTATCTTAGTTATGTATCTCTAACGTCAAGAAAAACATCTTTTAAGAGCTAATGAATGTACCAATTATTCACAATACGTCAATGAAGCACAGAAAGAATCTTTTTACTGCTCATTAGATTCTTGAGGTACTGAAAATGGCCTGGTAGCCTAACGTTAAATGCCAATAATTAATTAATCCAAAATTTTGTTAATTTTGTTAACCTTATGTTATTTGAATAGACTATTATTTCAACTCAGAACAGATTAAATTAAGTAGTTATTTACTCAAGTATTGCGAAAATTTATACAAAAGTTTTAAGTTAAGGTTACAAAATGTAACTTCTAACTTCGTCTAATTATCAAACTTTCAAAATGTGAATCCTTTCCACATTTAATTACCACGTTCTTTCTAATCCGAAAAAATCCAAAGAAGCAAAATTTGCAATAAGAAGCCAGTCATTTAAAATGATATAATAGTAAAACTAATTTCCAAGGTATTTTCAAATCCTTTCCTAACAGCCCGGGTCATTGTTCAGCCCGGGTGATTGAAATGTTTCAAAATTAAGAAACACAGAAGCGAAATATAATCCCACATTCTCTCAGATGAAAAATGAATTTGTTTATAGTATGTTCTGCAAAGAATTAGGAGCTACATACGCTATTTCATCACACTTTGAAAAAACTCTGAATTTTTAGCATTAAAAAGAAACGTGAATAACGTATGAAAGAAGGAAAAGAAAAATTGTTACGCAAGTAAGGAAAAACTAAAGGAAATCTCATATATTTACATGGAATTAAAAATTAATAAAAATAAAACACGCACGAAAATAATTTACAAACAACTTACTAAAACAAAAATAAACAATAAAACAGTAATTAATAATAATTCGTAATAATTAATAAATAATTCGTACAATTTTTAGAAAGCAACAGGTCGAAAATAAGAAAGTTAGAAACAGCCATATGCTGGTGAAAATTATTAATAATTTCATTTAGGCAGTAGTGAATAATTGCAAAAATATGTCATGTTTGCATGCATGAACCAATTTTTTTAACTTTCTTAATTTTTTTAAAATTATTTCAACTTTAAAACTTTAATTTTAGTATTTGCAATTATGAAAAAGCATAAAACTTTATGATTTAATCTTTTTATTTTTATCTTACTATACAGGAAATTTGTTTAATTATTTTTTTAACATTAGGGTTTTTACTTGTATCTCTACTCAACTTCACTTCTGTTTTTGCTGTACATTTACATCTATCTTTTACGTGATTCTACCGCTGGAAGTGGCTTGAGCGCCGTCGCCAAAAAGATAACAATCTTAGAAAGTTTAAGAAGACTTGGAGAGAAAGGAGTTGACAATGGACCTGATGGTCCAGTTCCTCCCCGATTGAAAAAGTACCGCATATCCGATAACGATAAAAGCCATGGGAGTCTTTTTCTGCGGATTGGAGCTATAGGTAAGTCAGTTTCTGTCTCTGAAATGTTTTCCGCTCAGATAAGAATAAGAAAAATCTAGATTAAGTCTCTGCTTAACAATACATATGGTTAACAATACAATATATACTTCGATGGTAAGATGTCTTACTGCCTAAATAAAAGAAGAAACAAGAAATTCTACAATTTTTGGTAACTAATAACCTGAAGAATTATAGAGGTAAGAGTACTTACTGTAGTTTACAAATTTCATAAAATATGCTACAGTTCGTAAATTATATTTCTTTAATATATCGGAATGGAATATACTTGTAGAGTATATTCCATTCCGATATATTAAAGAATCCTCACATTGTAATTCTAAGTTAATGTTGGAAGTGAATAATCTTAAGAACTGATAAGCGAATAATCTCTAGAGTTCGGGTGACAACAAACAACAAGATAGAAGGGTAACTAACCCTTTATTATTCCAATAAGATTTAACAAAACTCTGACTGGGAGGGTACAAACAAAGCCCTCACTTGGGCTCGAACTTAAGAGACTAAGAATTAAACTAAAACTAAGATTAACTAAAGAAATATAGCCGAAGCTATCAATATTCAAATCGAGTTGGCCCCTTCACTTATTTGACTACGAAGCTTAACAAGGGCCTGAGTACGGCCGAGCGTAATAACAGCTTTGAGAGAGAGAGTGGTCAAAAAGGCAGACGGGCGTAAATCAGAAACTCTGATTCTCTCTGACTCAGTAAGTAAGTTCGTGGTTTAAATACCGCTCCTCCTCATTAAATATTCAGCAAGATTCCAAAACTACGTTCTGGCCGGAAGTAGTAAGTTGAAGTTAAGAATTTGACAGGAAAGTAACTTTAACTTAAAATTTAACTGTTAATAAAATTAACGTAATCCTTACATACTAATTCGAAAGGTATGTGAAAGATGAAACTTCTAACAGCTAGATTTCATATGATTATGTTGGTTATTTAAGTGCAGTACTACATTCATATGCGTTTGTTGTTCTCTTAAATGCAAATAAACTATAACTCTTCTTTAAATAATAATAAACTGTAAGTACGAAGCTATTATAAAATACTAATGAGCTATAAACAGTCTACGGCAGAAGACTCTATACTAAGTCATGTTAGTACAAATGTCATTCTGGATTTATGTTCAATGTATGTTTTTAACATCCGTAAATAATTTAAAGTCATTGCAAGTTTTCTTACTCCATTTATTCAGTTAAAGAGGCATTTTAAAAGCAACGCTCCCGTTATGATCAATTGCTTCAAAATAGTCAGATTTTTAGATAATTTTTTAAAAACATGTTCCATACTTAGTTAAGTTATATTTAAATTACGAAAGAGAAATGTAAAATTCCACATTTTTTAAAACTCTTTTCGTTATGTCAGTTATTACGATGTAATCTATTTCTTTCACTGAAAAAATATATTGAACGATAATATAAATCATTTTTCTTTTTTGTATATTTTAAGCCTTTGGCCTTGGAACAATGGTTTATAACGGCTTGGAATTTGGTTCTTTTTTCGAAGTGCCTCCTACATCACTTTGTTACAACATATTCTTGGGTTTAAATCCGATTCTGCAGATGATCTTCACTTTTGCTCAAATGTATTTCATATTCGTAAATGCACGGGTAAGTTTATATGTACTTTCAAGTGTATTAAAATTTATCATAACATAATAAAATTATCTTGAAGATTCATGTTGTAAGAATGAAATTTTGACATTTAGTATATCGCACTGAAACTTAAATTTGTTACCTTAATGGACATATGTTTATTTATTTAAATCGATCTTAAAAATTCTAAGAAATATACATGCTTAATTCAATAATCAATGTTGCTAGTTTTAGTTAATATCTTAAATACTTCCTAATATTAATATTTTGATTAAAATATTGTCTAGATTGCTCTTTCGGAACACGTAAGTATATATAAGTCTTCATCTCCTTTCAGTGTTAAAGATATGCATATTAATGAAATGTTTTGGCATTTTACATTGGGAAAAACGAATGCAAGTGTTATTTTCAGCTATTCGTTTCCTGTTGAATTCTTTTATCATGCATAATACAAAAAACGTCGTTACTATATCCTAAAGATGTTGTTCACAATCTCAGCGCACATCCTTAGGATATCTAGAAGAATCCCAAAACCTTTTCGAAACATTCCCCGAGTGCAGTATGTCATATTCTCGGATATTCTGCGGAGCTTGTGATATCTTCGTCTTCCTAGATATCCTCAGCCATGATAGCCTCCGAAGACAGCGTAAAAGCATAAATTCCTACTCAATGTCTCCCAACTGATAACCTCTTTATGTGGTTATACGAAAGTATAAGTTACGCTTTGAGAACTTTGTATCACATGATTATCCTCAAAATCACATCATAATGTGAACTTTGTATCACATGATTATCCTCAAAATCACATCATAATGTGAACTTTGTAACACATGATTATCCTCAAAATCACATCATAATGTATCACATGATTATACTCAAAATCACATCATAATGGTATGCTGAGCTTGAAATTTTAGACTGTTTTAAATCTAAGGCAAATAATTTTAAGTAGATCCGAAAGCGTGTAAATAACTTTAAATGGATCTTCAGTACCAAACATTAGAAAGAAAAAAATCCTTTGATTTTTAAAGTTATAATTTAAAATATAAGGATTTCTTGAAGACTTTTTTCACGTTAAATACTTAAAATTGAATTAATTTTTTTTCTAATCAGCACAACCAAATTTCAGTTTTATATGATTTATGTTCGAAATTCCTTAGAAAAGTCATTTAACAGTTTTTCTAGATTTAATGATTCAGTATTTAAGAACCTATTCTAATATATATAAATGAATTTGAAGCCCTTTTTTGAAATTTCGTAAAGAAATTTAAAAAGAATATATTTTAAAATTCAGCTAATTAAAATTTTATTCACAGAATATGAATCATTATAAATATCAATGTAGAATGCGAATGAATATTAATGCAGGATATGAATGCATACGAGCAAATGCATATCGAAATGCTGCAACTTTTTATAAATTTTATATGGCTTTTAAAAATTTACTTTGGAGTCTTTCTTTATCAGCGAAATATGAGTTTGTGAGTTATCGACAATTTCAAAATTTTATGTATACCGTCTCCACAAAATTCTTTATAGGCATTTATTTTCCCAAGCGTTAGTCGAAGACACAGATTTCTAGGTGTAAAAATGTTTTAGTTGGGGCAAATATTTATGTTTTGGCATTTTAAAATCTAAAATATCAGTTTTGTAAAAAACTACATATTTTAACTTTTTAGACTTTCGCCTAGTCCCTATATTTACATTTACTAAAATTTTATACTCATTATAGGAGATAAAACACAAAATGTTTGACCTCCCTAAAAGAAAAATGAATCGCGATATTTTACTATCAAAATTTGGGATTTTTGACTTCATTTTCAGTTAGCCGTCATAATAAAAAATAAATTCCAATAATTCGAGGTAGTTTTTTCCCTTAAATATCAGTCAACGGTATTCTTTTGTAATTTACCTGGAGTGTATCATTCTTTAATTTATTGTTTTGTTACGTTATGGTAGCCGTAAGAATTTTCACATAAGTAAATACTTCATTAGTTTTCAAACGCCAAAAAATACGTTATTAATTTTTTCACGCAATTTTGTTACTTTAGAATTATAATATAATAATTGCACAAAAAATCATTAAACTGGGAACATTTTCGCATTTCTAATTAATGAAAATAATATTACGAATTAGCTACGTGCCAATACTGAAGAGAAGAGAGGTCTCAAACTGAAATTACATGCAGCTCTGAATGCACGATCTGAAAATAGTTGATTGGCCAGAATTATTTTATTAACAAAATTTTACAAAATATATGTTAAATAAATTTTAATTTTCGCTTACTATATTTTATCAAACCATACGTAAACAAGAACAATAATAATAGTATTACAAACGAAAAAGAAAATTTAAACTTATTTTCTACCTGAAATCTAACGAAAAAGCCTGCAGGACATTTTTTATCTGTTACACAATATACTGTCAGCTAAATATTAAATTTTCACACAAGTATTTAATTAATTAGACAGACATTTTAAATAATTGTAAAATGTTCATTCAATGATTAAATAACTTACTTTAATTTAAATTAAAAATAAACAAATAAACAGACAACATTCTAGGTTTCCAGAGAAAATTTTCCAAGTGGAACAGCACTTGAGAATAAATAATGACAACATAGTCTCTTTCTCTTATTTATTAAATTTCTCTTCGATCATAAGTAAAAATACACATGTTTGCATGTAAATAATCATAAACGTTTTTATTTCTTACAATAGCTTGACACTTGATGGCGTTTCCATTCATTCTGATAAATTTTGCAGTTTTGGAGAGATATCTTCATCACAGATTATAGATGCTCATCTGTCAATCGGGTTCTTTCCTTATTAATTTTAACTATGAAAAAAGTGCTGTTCACGTATAAATGTATTAATTCCATAACTGAAATGCATTCCGCAGGTCACATAAAATTGCTTCGGGTGCCGTCAGTCTGAGATCCCTATTCTAAAACACGATTTCTGTAATATTCTGAGAATAAAAAAATTATCTTGAAAAAGCTTGATTATCTTTATGTGTGATTATCTTGAAAAAGCTTGATTATCTTTATGTATCTTGATTATCTTTATGTGTGAAATTTTCAAATTATTTTGAAAAAGATTATCTTGATCAGTCCTTTCACATCAATATGCATAGGTATTAGAAATGTTACCTATTTACATTAGAAATATATTTTTAAACTTATATTTCATTTTTAGTTATGTAAAAATGCAAATATTTTGCTCTTTAATTTGCGTATGACGATTGAACAGGAACTTCAACTTTAAAATTGCAAATTTTGGTCAGTTTTTCTAGTACGGAATCAAACTTTTTTGTTTTATTTTATATAATAAACTTAACTGTAGGTATAGGGACGTAAGTTTTACAAAACTAATTCTTTTATATAAAAGTACCAAATCATGAATGTTTGTGTCTTTTAAAGCATTTTTATAACTGGAAGTGTATGTCTACATCCAACGTTTGAGAAATAAACGCTACATGAGGACTTTTGTATACACGGTATATAACTGTATTTGTGGAAAAACCTATGCTGTTATTAACATGTGTTTGTATATATAAATATATAGTTATATATTATATATTTTTTTCATAACTACTGAATACACTGCGTTCGATTTCAGATAAACTAAAGAGTATTTAAGATGGGCATTTTCTTCCTACGAAAACGGAGGGAAAATTTTAAATTCTTCTTGGCTTGAAAATGAATCAGTGAAAAATATCCGCCAAGTCTCTGAGTTTATAACTCACACTTATTATTAGTGAACAAAAATGATTTGTCGCATATTTTGTTTTTAGACAAATTTAACAGTCCAGAGATTTTTGTGTCTCTAGATCTCAAAACTAGAAGTAAAATATAACCCACCTTGATATCCATTGAATCCACCTTTAGATCACATAGTTGTAAGACTGAAAATTTTCTGAACTAGTATTTCGGTCATGCAGCGCACTTAATTAAAGATTTTTTTCTTTCGTAAAAAGTAAAATAAGAAGCTTCAATCAAACTTATTCCAGTTGTGTGCTCTAAGATACATAAAGAATTATAAACCTAATTAAACATTTCTAGTACAATTTGTTTGTTGTCGTATGAAACATTTTATTAATAAATTATGCTATTCAATGCATAATCGTTTTGATAAATTATGGCATTCTAGGCATAATCTGCATTAATTTAAGCTTGACATCATTTAACTGAAAGTTTCCATTTTTAACAATCTTGTTTCTATTTCTCTTTGTTAGTAGCGAAATCTGTCAAGCAAACTAATCTCACAATGATGAAACAAATTTCTCGGACCCTCTTGGAAATTTGTTTTGTGTTTTGCTAATTGAAACAAATTAAATGTTAAATATTATACTTTTTAAAATTAATATACTTTCCCAGTGCAATAAATGTGATAGTATCACAGAAGTTTTTTGTTATAAATCTCAAGGGAACAGAAAGCAGAGATACCGGTAAAGAAATCTATTTAATAAATAGGTTATACCACTTGAGTTGTCAGGTTTCCAACAAAAATCGACACAGTAACTCTAATAAGTACACTCTGCACGGAGATATTATTCATTCTTGAATGCGGAGATGGTAAATTCATTTTATCCTAGCATTTGCAGACACTGCTTTTCTGGGTATTCCAACTTTTTCTGCTCTGAATCCCAAGAAATCGACGACAGTGCAAACGAAGGCAATATAAATGTTCCCACAGTGTAAACCAATGCAAACCTTTTGTTTTTCCTAACTCGAAATAATGGCAAGGCAAAGAAGAAGAAAATTAGAAACCTTTAGAGATTCTCTTTTAACAAATTTGGTGTCACATCAGTTTCATATCACGTGGATTAAAGCAATGGTAAACAAGTACCAGCTACAGCGGATGCAATATAGTGTCTCCTCATAAAATAACCCATCTACAACATTCTTGGAAGCGGCAGAAATGTGGTGCGAACATATAGAGCAGTGCTGTCCAACAGAAAATACTACGTATAATTAAACTGCCAGTCGCTACCTGTATCAGCTCTATTTGCTCTTGAAGGAGGGGAAGGGGAAAAATTAATTAAAAGATATTTCCCTAATTTTTCCCTTGTAAATTGTGTAATACGAAACCTGCGCAAGCAAAGGATAGAAATAATTCATTGAAACATGCATTTGACAAGCATCGGAGTACAGGAACTTTTAAACCTAGGATGGACAACATAATGACCATGGTGTGTACAGCTTGAAAAGACAGATACGGACGTAAGAAGTGTATTGAGGCTATTGATTGGAAAGGAAAAATTTGAAGATGTGAAGAAGTGAAAAAGAACGTACACGGCGGTAAAAGGAAGTAAATTTAAAGTACCTAAGTTTTGACTATGTTTAATGAAAATGTTTGTCATTTTTGTGGACTTACCGTATAAAAATTAAATTTAAATATCTTCTATCCCAGGAGCCACAATTAAAGTGTTCATTCAGCACCTATGACTGATGCCGACGATTGGACTGCACTGTAAACAGCTGTGTCTTTATGAAGCTACCTGACACTGGCTGTGACTCGTAAACAAAAGTCTGTACTGATGGATGGTTTCAAAGAAAGGAAAGCCATCCGCACTGGCCTCACTTTTTATCTGATGTAACATATTGTCTGATCTTCTTTTCCCACTCTTATGTGGACTTAAAAGCTAGAGAATAATCTACTGGTGGAATACAAGATTACTGTAACACAAAATTTGCTTTTTCCGATCAGAAATCTTTCAGCATGTGACGTTTCTGACTTATAGTCTGCTCCACATCTACTACTTCTTACTAACTATGTGGCTTCGTTTATCCCACTTCTATACGTCAAGTGACGTCAGTGAACTCGACCATTGGGAAGGACATACTATTTCGAATGCCTTTCCTGCGTACTGACTTTGGTGAAATGAAGAACTCACTCTAAAGACGCGAAAGAAAAGCCAAGTACCCGACTCCTGTGTACATAAGTTTTAAGTATTGTGGTGCTACTGGAGATTTCATTCTCTTAAAATATGATTTTCATGGTAGGATCAGACAAATTTATAACAGCATTTCCTGGATAAGAGGATCACCAAAAAATCAGGCCCCATACTGCAATTTCAATTACTGCCTGACCTATCCAAAATCTGGTCTGAATTTGCCCAATTTCAGCTCAAAGTCGAAAGCGAATTCTTATTGGAGGTGTGGAAACACAAACCTTAAGCATAAATCATTTGAATATAGTTAAGAAAAGACATGAATAAATATCTTTCTCACTCTTACACAAAATCTATGCCAATGTAATGCTGCTAATGTAAATAAAATTAAGTGCTTCTAAATTTATTCTATTTGAATTTTGAAATAAGTAATACTTTCAGGCTTATATGGAAATTACTTTTAGTTCTCACAAAACTTTTTATTGTAAACTACGCGCTAAGTTGAATGGTTTGATTATTAAACAGATATACTTAAAACGAAAACAAGTGCACCTGCGTCTATTTCTTGTCATGAAATAATATATTTTACATTCCATGTTATTATATTAACCTAGTTTATATTCAATATGATTCGATTAACCAATTGAACTAATCTTGATCCGATTAGTTAGGCTAACCTGCGTTCTGTTATATACGAAAAATTATTATATTTCTTCAACTTAGGGTTTTCAATGTCTGTCAGCACTTAAATAATTGCGTGCAGCAATAATCTATAAAGCTAAAAGTAAGCTTATTCGGTCTAGTTCAGTTCATAAATTCTAATATGCAACGTCGGGTAACAGAAAACTAAAGCAATTTGCCAGATATTGATGACAATAATTTCCAGTTCCTTCAGTCTACCGGCTGCAAACATACTGCTCTAAACTGAAAATCCATTTAAGTATTTTACAGTCACAATACTGTCAAATAACACACAAATACATTAGGATATTTTATGGGTTTTAAGTTAGTGTGTTAGAAACGATTAGGTTCCTTATTTACACAAGTGAAGACTTTTTAGCTTTGAATACTTAAAATTTCTGAAGAGAAAAATATATGTGAATCTGTTTCTCTAAAAATACATAGCGGTAGATAAACTAGCTTGTAAAACGATGTAGATGTAAGACAGGAATTTCAATAATGTGAAAATAACAATATTTAGTCATGTATTGCTATTTTGTGATTTTCAAAACTTTCAATAGAAATAAAAGTACCAATAGATAATAGATTCTCTATGCAAATATATAAAGTAACAAACGAATAGATATATACAAAATTTTGACTTGCACATATCTATTTATTTATGAGTTTCATTCATTTGAATTAAGAATTCACCATGTATATATTCAAACATTTATTACTCATGAATTTATGATTACTAGCATATTTATTTTCACTTTGTATTTGCTCATACATTTAACAACAGATCATGCAAGAAAATAGCATATTAATTTTTTTCAGAGGAGAGGGAGTCAATAAGAAAAAATATTGTAAAGCACAAAATATTCAAAATGTTTCTATTCAGTAAAAAGAGCGTAAAGCTAAAATATTTTTCTGCTAAATCGACCTAAATAGGCGCTTCAGTGCATGTAAATTTAACTACATACTCATGTCAACTTAAGAGAATTTGCATATTATGTCGAATTTTTGAAGAACAACTTAGCAGATTTTAAAGAAATTCGGTATGCATATACATTTATAGTGCAAAATGAATTTAATATGGAGTATGGTTCCCTGTCACAGCCAGATAGGTTTCGAAGGCTGAGGAAATACTGGACAGAAGGTAGTTGAGGTGTTTCTGTGGCAGTCGATCCATTCCTGCAGCAAAGCAGTTTCAACTCCTGGATGGTTCTCGAAGAAGGGATGAAGATGAAATTGCGTCTCAGACATGCTGTATAGGGTAAGGTCAGGAGATCTGGCTGACTAATCCATGCGGTGAATATCATCACTTTTCAGGTAACTGTTGACCATCTGAGCCCAATGTCTACGAGAGGTTCTCGTCCATTAACAGGAACCAATGACCAACTGTGCCTCTCAAAACTCGAACACAGCGTTCTAAGATCTCATCTCTGTACCTCATGGCAGTCATGGAGCTACTGTCAAACACATTCAGGGGTGTGCAGCCGTCCAGTATGCCCGCCCAAACTATTTCACTTCTACCTAAGTAATGATATTTTTTCCTGATGAGGGAGGGATGGTATCGTGTTCCAGGTTCCCTCCAGATGCAGGTACGCCGAGAATCAAGTGTCCAGAAGGAATCTCGACTCATCTTTTAAAAGTACGATGCTGTACTGAAGTCTGTGGTCCAAGGCGCATGTTGTCAACACCATGCTAAACGTGCTCTCTTATGTGCTGCAGTCAGCGGGTCTTCTGGCATACAACCCTATGTCATGAAGCCATCGGACAACTGCAGACAGTAAAACTCGGGTTCCAATGGAGCATACAGCTCACGTGAGAGTTGTGACGCTGTATAGTCCAAATGCCAAAAAACCATCCTCAGGTTTCGTTGTGGATCTTGGTCAACCTTGTCCAGGTCTTCTCTCGATATGGATCCAATGACCTGAAGCTGTTTCCACAAACTGCAGACGACAATCGGCTCTGTAGCCACCTGTGATTTTCATTGTCCTGGTCCAGTCTACCGACAAATATCCGTTTTTTTTTTTCGTCATCCATGCGCTCATGGCTATTCGTTTTACCTGATACCTTATTAAACTCAACTCTACTCAACTCTAGCGAGATACGCGGTGAATGTCGTGAAGGTGTAACAGCACACAATTCGCCAAAAATCCCTCTTGCGCTTATATAACCTCCACATACAACAGCTCCGCAGACACGCACGTGTACGCCTATATTTGACTCTGAATATCTGCATAATTTTTTGCCAAAACTAGTGTCTTTGGTTCAATACTTAGACATAATTTGGAAATTCTCCTAATTTTGCACACGAAAGTATATTTGGCAATAAAGCTATGTTTTGTGATATTTCGAAATTTGAAAATGAACCCCAGTTCTATTAAGAAATTTGCTTCTGGAGATAAAAAATGCATGTTTAATATTTTTTCTGTATTATCTAAATTTTTTCTGCATCTGCTTTTCTGTATTACCTGAAATCATTATAAAAACCGCTCTGAATTCACTTAAAGCATATGTAGTATCTTTAACAAATAAATTTGTTTCAATGTTTGTTTGTTTTGAAAGTCACGTATACTGTAATGAAGCTGCTTCAAAAGAAAAGTAATAATAGATAAGATTTGAAAGAACTAACAAATTTTAATGAATCAATATTTTATGTATAAACACGAGCTACGATTTATAAGGATTGCATAACACCTCTAGACTTCTCATAAAATATTTAGGAATTTAAGGAATTAGTTACAGTTTAAAGGACTGCGGTAAATTAATAATTCTTAGTTCAGAAAGTCAAACTTTAACATCACTAAAAATAAAGAAAATTAGCATAACTGCTTACGTAAAGACATTAGAAATGTTAGGGAGGAAGAAAATTGTATATTTGATAGAAACAATATCGTCTCCGAGGAACTCTTTTTCAATCCAGTGATATAATGTGATATGTAAATACATATATATTATTCATCTATTTTACAGCTCAATATACAGAAATTTAAAGTTGTTGCTCGATTTGGTCTGATGCATATCATAGCTACAAATTTGTGCGTGTGGATTAGAACAGTAGGAAAAGAAGCTTTAGAAGCTATTGCTGAAAACCAACGGGAAAGTGGACAAGGATCAAGTCTAGAAGAGTTGATTTTGCCCTTTCGAGTAATAGGTAATGCAATTAGAGTACAAATTAAGAATTTTCTGTTTTATTGTAAATTACTTAGTTGCTTGCTGCAGATATTACAGTCAAACGATACATATAAAAAATCAAGTGTTTACAAAAGATCGAAATTTGTTGTAATTAGCTTGAGTTTAATTTTTAACACATCACAGCAGGATCTAAAATAAAGAAACTTTGTTTAGATGTAATGAATATAAAGATCTAACTTTGTTTAGATGTAAATGCAGGATTAGAATACTAGTGTAAATGTTATTCAAAAACTTTTCATATTAAGTATGTGTATTTATGGGTGTAGGCGATAGCTGCACAGAATCAAACTCGCAAAGTTGGCCTTTAGTTCAAGAATCACCAGCGTATACTAGCAAGCATATATTAAGTACGGACGTAAAATAGCAAGCTTTAACTTAGAAGCAACAACGTGGCCGAGAGGCAGAGCGCGCTTTCCTACTGAAGTTACCAAGACTTCAGCTTAAATACTCGGTCTACCTTATTCGCATAAATCGAAATATCGAAAACTCATTCTGGCAGGAAAACGTAGGTGAGAAATTAGAATGTACAGGAATGGCTTGTTCCAAAATAAAAATAACTATTAGGAAAATAAAGTAAAATTCTAGAGATGAATATAAAATCTGCTTCAGCTACTTTGCTTTTCAATATTGATCAACATTCTACAGTATTAATACGATGTTAACACCAATATTGCAAAGTCCAATTATTACATATATAGATATATATACCTCGGTAAGAAAAATATTAAAAATCTGTAAATCATTTAATATTCATTTTAAGAGTTTACATTCTTTAGACTATGCTTCATCAGGTTGCATTTTTTCAATAAATCCTTTTACTAAAAGTCCTAAAACCTACTTAGGTACGGACTAAATTATTTATTATTTTTACTGCTTGTTTGCTATTATATACTTAATGGAAGCAACGATGGATTTTGCAAAATATCAAAAAGAAAAATAATAGGAAATCATATTTTTTCAAAGTTTTTACATATAAATATGCTTTTTATTTTTTTCCTCAGAAATTTAATTTAAGAATTAAAAAAATCGATCGCTGAAGTTATCAAGAACATTCTAATGAATACAATAAAAAATTGGGTAAAAAATTTTCGAAGAAGAAAAATATTTTAATTGTTAAATCCTGCTTTAAAAAATTACCGCCAATTTTTTTATCGCCAATCAGCTTAATTTTTTTTTATTGATTACGACACATACTATGGCATCCGCCAAAGACAGCGATGTCCAATGGGGGTATTTTTAAAGAAAACTGGCTCTTGTCCACGTTACACTAGGGAAAACCAGGAAAACACCCATGCAGCCAGCTCGTTCCCCGGGATTCGACGCCCTCAAAGACATTTTGTCTGACAAAAGCTTTTATAATATTTATAAAAAATATAAAAAATTGATGGTGGTTCTTAAATTAAAAAAAATTATTCAAAGGATACCAAGTCTCCTTAAATTTTCTTTTTTATTTCATTGTTTTATAATAAATAATAAAACAACTCGAAAAATAAGGTCTTATCCTACCTTATATGTCTACAAATCACTCTTGACCAAAAAATAATATGCCTTTTCACTTAAATTTGCCTAATATTGCAATATACATAACTGCTGTAGAAGTAATGTAACCAATTGTACAGTTTTGATGCACATTAAATATAGATATATAAAGATAAAGCCCTGAATCATGCGTCTCGTTCAATGACAAATTTTAACTGGAAGTCAAACATTTCCAGAAAAACCACAGCCGACATTATAGTAAATCATACCACCAGAATTAGAAACAATTGTGGTGACAATGAATAATTCTTAAAATAACTAAATTGTTCATTAAAATACATAAAAATAATAAATTGTACATAATTTTATTAAAGAACAGCTAGCTAAATTACACTTGTCAATCCAATTGCACTGTTAAATTGTTTTTTCAAAGTTCTGTTTTTCAAAAGTCTTACATTCTGTAATAATTTTTAATAAGAAATTGCATGATTTCTTACTATTCGCTTAAAACCTAAAAGGACCTATTTTATTTCAAGACTGGCGGTAGCTCGCATGAGTGAATTCTGTAGCCTCTAACAATACAACTAAGTTTATTTCGCCTTCCAAACTCCTTTATCTTATAAGTGAAAATTACTGCAACTTCTAGCACAAATTCATAATTTTTTAAGATAGAGAATTAGATTTTGTATTATAAGTATTAAGATAAAATTATTTTTGTCATACTTTTTATAACTGCAATAGCTTAATTCTACTTATTTGTTAGTATTCAGCATTAGTGTTACATTCTAGAATTATTTTATTACTTTAGTAGCCATAAAATATTTTCTTCACAGTTTACGCATGTTAAGGTCAATTATTACTGTTTCGAAATGCTTTCCTTTGTTTCGAATGCCATTACTAATTTATTAATGAAAGTTTTCTTAATTTATATGCAAAATATTTCATCATTTGGATGTAATATAAGGATTTAAAATTTTAATTACGAATTTTTGTTTCATTACAGTTATCATGTTTATTGTTCTATATACAAAACTTAGGTTTCTGGATCATAGATAGCTTTACGATACTCACAAAATTACTTGCTTTGTTCCAGTATTTGTTCGTCTAACGCATTTTTTAAATTTTATAAATTTTAAACTTTGCTTCATGCTGCCTTCCTTATTCTTGAATTTACATTTCTTCTTGGTCTGCTGTTAAAATTGCTTTAATTTATTTAATTCTGAACAAGGTATCCTTTAGATTCCGGCTATAAGAGTTAGACTGATGGATACACATATTGATTTAATTTATATTTTCCTGATTTAAGATTAATTTCATGTACCTGAGCATTTTCCAGTTCGGAAACAGGCTTTATTTTTTACGTTCCTTGTACATCAACCTCCTCATGATCATGAAAAATCTATTTACCTTCATTTTTTTGCCCTTTTCTTGTCCATGAAGTTACTTTTGTACGAATTTTATTTTTGTTCAGAATTTGTTTGTCCGAACTCTCATATTTTTGTTAGTTTTTTTTAATAATTACAAAATTTAATTTTTTTGGAATTACCAAATTTAATTTTTTTAAATTTATCTCTAGTGCGTGTGTGTATGTGTTAATATATTATTCCAAAATTGAATGCGATATTCAAGCCTGCTTAGATTTTATTTTGAATTTAATACACATATATAAATAATGAAAATAAAGAAAATATAATCACTGCTCACCAGAACATCAGTTATGCAACTGCAGACAAAATGTTATAAAAGTGTGTGAAACATTGGGTTTGTGAAACAAAATGTTATATTTCGAGAAGCGTTTTTCTTGAGCAATCGATTGCTTTTTATTCCAATTTTCAAAATAATAAGAAAAACTGTAAATCAATTAAAAACAAATTAAGGAAATTGCATTAACATTACTTTACAATATTTCAACAGATTCTTTTTTTCAAATTCTGTGATTGATATTTTACAGATTTGTATTTTTCTACTTAGAGTCTACTACTTCTACTACTTCTACATTCAATCAATACACTCCCCATGAACTGTTTTAAATACAACGATTCATAAGAGTTGTTTGCTTTAAAAATACAAGCTTAAAAATTTCGTGCTATGCAAAATTACTTGATTTCTTACAGATAATGACATAAAAGTTAAAAAATAACACATTTCTCGGTATTTTTTTCAGCCTATTATAGCATTAATTGATTCCTATAAAGTTTCCTAAACTCTAACTATAGCCTAGTGTAAGAAACAAAATAAAAAGAACAAAAAAACGGGGTTAAGAATCCTTAAAACTATCAGAAGTATAATATTTTATGTCATATGTATCCAACATATGTTTGTTAAAATATCAACAGATGATAAATTTCTTCTTTCGGTAATTATGACGTAATAATCAAGTTTAATCTTCTCGCATTAATTACATTTACCAATCATTTCTGACTTAAGCTAAATATTCTGAAATTGTGCATTATAATCCCAAATTCTGCTTTATATACGACATAAAGATATCACACTTCATTTTAAATATCATTTATGGGTTTTTTAACTACTTGGCAAGAAATCTGCTTGCTTTTCGAGTTGAAGCTAAAGTATGGAAGTTGTGGTGGATCTACTACATGTTCGCAGTAAACGCAGATGAGAGGTCCTGTAGCAAATCTACAACACCTGCGGTAACTTCAAGAAAAGAAGACTGAGCAACATGAGCAAGACGGACGTTTGCAACAGAAACATTTTAACGGCGGCAGACGTCAAGGATGCTATACTATTGCTGATAAACTGTAAATCACAGCTGACGTGTGCTCAGCAGCATCAAAACCGGACTCTTAATAATTGAAAAAATGTTGTTTGATCCCCTGAATCTGTGCTCCATCAGACGCAAATTATGGCGCAAATGAAACAAATGCGTTGATCTCTCTTGCCTAATGATAATTCTTCGAGCTTGTGGCTGTAGAATTCTTTCCTTGCATATCTTGTACTATGGACATCGATGCTTGATCCGCGACATTCCATTGCCTCAAGCCAGGTGATTCCCGCAATACCTGTTGTAACAGTGGCATATCAACCCGCTCATAAAAAAGTTTTATCCGGTTCTCATGCTTTTAGAGAGTCACCATTTTGTCCTCTAAAAATACCACAGTTTCCTAATTCTCTCAATCTCAAACCTGTGACTAAATTTTTCCACCTTTGCCATCGGTGCACACAGAATAGAATGCTTAATTTTAAGACTTCATCCCCCAACTTAAAAGCAATTATCCGCCTTTTTTATCACAGTAAAATTTTCTCTTCACACAGGCCATAACTGAACTTCTATTTTCATCATTCACTAATTTTTAAATGTCTGTCAACTTGAATTCTCCAGACCTCTTTTAGTTTGGAGAGGTACGCAATCAACTTTCTGCCAAGAAAAGCAATCAACCAGTGTCTTCCATTTGTATCGGGCTTAGCCGTTCTTAACGCAAATGCCAGCTCATTGAAACAGCTATCCCCCAGTTGGTAATA